TTGAGTAAACCTTATGACCAAAGTATTTACTTATACTTCCAAACTATAGCGTATAGATGCCGTTAGAGCATGCATTCATAGGTTCTGACATAGTCTGATCTCGTTGATCCTGACCCCCCCTGGGAAAATTTGACCCCCAACGATTTTTTTGGACCCGTTGCCATTTTCGGACCTTTTTTTGTTGTTTTAGACCTCACTTTTTTCTGGATACCGGTTTTACACTAAATAGAATCGATTTTCGAAAGTGAGGACCTTTTTTTTTTTTTAGTCCTCACTTTGTTCTGGATACCGGTTTTACACTAGATAGAATCGATTTTTGAAAGCGAGGACCTTTTTTTTTTTTTTGCTCTTCAAATTCGAAATTGCTATGTTCGGCAATAACGTGGATATGCTGAATTTAGAATAGATTCTTTTGTGCACAGATGACCCATACTCTGATGTGACTACCAATAAACACCTAGATACTCCCATATGCACGAATTGAACATTTACGATACTTCGTAACTCTCTCGCTTCATGATGTGTTAATACTCCTTTTGCATTTTTTTCATTTATTTTTCAACAAAATATATTTTAGCACTACATGAAATGTAGAGTTTGAATTAGCAAATGGGCCATCGTGCTCTTCCATGCCTTACCAATGAATGCATAAATTCCGGTGTTTATGCATGAGTGGTAAAAATTCGTAGAAATTGTTCAAAGTTTATAACATGATCAATCATATCTTGAGCATACACCTCGTATAAGAACCAAATTTTCTTGTGGCGCCATCTAGATGGCTTACGGGGCTCAATGTATTTTAAATTGTTAGCTAAGTTTTTTCAGCTTAGTACAGAACCGTTTTTGGCAAAGATACAAAAGCATGCTCGAGGTATGTGATCAATCACAAAGAGAAAATTGAAAGAGTTCAAAGGAAATACACTAGAATTGTTTTCTTTAAGAAACTCAGACAAAATTCTCAATCATATACCGATCGCATCAAATACTTAAATATGTTAGAACTGGAAATGAGAAGGGAATACTTTGATGCATGCTTACTACATAAATTAGTACACAACCGGAACTATTGCTCACATTCTAGACCGTACTTCAGAATAAGCCGACGGTCGAATAGATCGAACATACTTTTCAATCCTCAACCTACAAATAATGATTATGGGCTTCACAGAAATCCTGTGACTAGAACGCAGTTACTATACGAGAGAAAGTTCAAAGCAACTAATATTCTTGATGCAAACTATGAACTGTTTAAAAATAAAATAATGAGCTACTTCAGTCAAAATTAAAATATTATTATTATTGATGCAAATATCAAAATAATAAGGCAATGTTTTAACTGCATCAGTTGAAATAATTTAGTTGCAATCGAATTTAAAATTATAATCAATTCTTTTTATTTTTTTACAACTTATTAATTTTAAATTAAATAATTATACTATTTTTTCTTTTTTCTTTTTACTATTAGTAATATATTGCCAAAAAGTAATTAGAAAATGTAAAATTGAAAGTCAACAAAAATGTGATCAGAACTCATAGGTGAGGAATGTTATTGGGATTTTTCCTGTTTTCAACACCATTATAAATCAATAAAAATAAAAAAATAAAAAAATGATCAATTCATTAAATAGTAACATTTCTTAAATTCTATTTCTCCTGGAAACATGCCGAATAACCTAATTTTGTGTAGATAAAGAAATACACAACCTTTAAATAAAAGCTTTTTGTTTGTAAATAAACTGAACGAGTGTAGGTATGAATATTTTGTATGGTTTTTATCTTGTTAGAAATGAGAATGATATTTGTACGTTGAATTCAATTCCATTATTTATTTTCCAAAAAAGGAGCATTCATCTTTCACAAAGTAGAGAAAGTGCGTATTTGTTCGTGACTAAGCAAACGTCAGAGAAGCAAGAACAAAAGACGGCAAAGATAAATGCATTTGAGAAACGAGCCCAAAAATATGTGTGATGGTTGGAGCAGAACGATTTAAATCGGTGTCGGTTTCCATTGTTAGCAGTCCCAAGGAATGTGGAGAGAAGAGTGTCGTTTGTGAAATTGCGGAAAACAGCATCATGAAGCACAAATGCTCGATGGCCTGGTAATCAAGATGAAGCAATGCAAATCAAACATATCTGTGACCGTGGAAAATATGTGTATGGCCATTGTCGGTGGCGGTGCTTTGGCATTCTTTGACGTGTTTTATCACAATGCGCTCCCTTCCGCAAAGGAACTACGAAAGGTAGCTGCGTGCTGCTTTTTACGATACATAAAGAATGCTTATCAGCTGTTTGCTCTGCGTTCGCATTTAGTTGCACAGCAGGAAATTGTTGAAAATGCGTGGTCGTCGCGTGAATTTCATGCGGCTGTTGATGTCATTTAATTGTCTTAACATTTTGTGGTGTGCCAGAACCGATTGTGATCGGCCGCAAAAGTACAAAAGGCATTTTGTTTTGGGCGTGTATTTTATGGGCAAATTCAAGCATCCTAAACACATAGACGGTGGCAACAACTTAAGCAATAAAAATTCTTCTTTCAGAAAGAAAAAACCCGAACAGCGGCTGCGTGCTTAAAATTAAAATCAAACGGCTGTGAATTTCCGAAACATTTGTTCGTTTCAAAAACGGGCACATTTTACGACCAAAATTTGACTTTTCATCACTGTTTCGCTGTAAACTCGCCCATTCCATCGTTCCACTTGCTCGATGGTTTGACGACTTTTATGTATAAATTTCGCTATGCTGTGTGTTCCCTGTTTTATGCTACCCAGTTTGGGGTTCGGGTAACAAAGATACGAACAATGCACGGCCCAATTCTGAGGCAAGGAAATCGAAAAATAGAAAACAAATCAACAAATCATTTGCTCCCGTCCACCATAAACAAACACCAAATTTAGATTGATGATGACCAATAACCCAAAGCCAAACAATGCTCACTCATTCTCTCTCTCTTTATTTTGCACAATAATTGCAATTATTTTCCATTCTATTGCTTTCCATCCGTCTCTCAGTTTCCTTTTGTCACTTGTCGACCGTCGCCCAACAATAGTGTCATCGAATTATCGCTCGTGATTTGAAATCTTGGCCCATAAAACCGCAAGTAAAGTGCTTTTGTTTGAGACAAACAACGCACAAACAATACGATTACGACGACTTCATTGGGCCGACTGTTCGGTAGCATGGAGAAATAGTGGCAGCAGGCCACATAATCGTAACAATAAAATCGAAAATGTTGATGACCCTTTTGACGCCACACGCACATAAACCGCACAAAAGACATTTCACAATACCAAAAATGTGCCTACACTTCTAATGATTTATTTAGGACTAATTTCAAAGTAATATATACGCACTCAATGTAAACATCACTGACCTAACAATCACTTTTCGCAGTGAACCACAATCGCAGCCTCTTTCGCTATTTTTCTTTTCTTTCAAAAGCAAACTTTCGCAATAAAACTTACTTTCTTACAAAATGGAAAGTTGGAGCCATCCTTTGAAATGTGATGGCATGTGGTTTTGATAGGAGATTTTACTTGAGTTGCAAAGAGAGGGTAAGGAACGAAATGTTTTATAATGTATGCCAGAAACACCGGCAACTGCTGTCACTCACAAACTCGTTGGCACAAACGAACCATCGCCGCAACTGTGGCTGAACAATCAATTTACCCTTTTCCTCAATCAATCCAATGCATTGAATCAGCTTTTGGCTTAAATGAAAGCCATAAAGTGTGTCTTCATTCCTAATTGCTACACATGATTTTTTGTATTAACTGCGGCTCTGAAAAGTTTATAAGTCATTAAAAAGAAGTTGAAATTACAAAGATTTCCCAAGAAAATGAAGATTCCAAAACAAATTTAACGAAGACTTTGCTAGATCTAGACAATGAGTTACAATTCTATGGTTTTGTAAAAAAAATACTCGAGTTTATTTAAAAAATGTGATGAGATGTGATTTTGGATGGTTAAGGCATTTTTTAGAGTAGAAAATAGAAGAACATTGGATCAAAGCCCTTTCTAGTGCCATTTGCAAAAATTAGAAATTGAAAAGAATACATAAAAAAGAGATATCTAGAGATCACTTTCGACGCAAAGTGAACCATTTTTGATTTGTTGAACAAATTATCACCTGCTTCACGTAATGCTACTATCTTTTCACTCTATTTGTCTTCGATTAAATTTCATTATTTGTCATCTTTCACAGACGGTAAAGCATCTGGTTAACAGGATTTAGATGGAATCGTGTTCAAGCATCCAAGATTTTCGGTTGAGTATTGAATCGCGATTATTTGCTTAGCAAATCTGCCAAAACCAACGATAAGAAAAATCGCTTCGAGCTGGATTGGATCTTTGACCCATATTTTTGTGTGTGCTGCGTACATACATAGTATAATAATCCATCGCCGCTAACACTTACAATAAAACGATTTTCCCGACTCAATCCTAAATGCAACAAAAAGTGATGAAACATGCAAATATCGTTTTCCCAAAATTGTTTGCCAATCCCTGCCGAAGAGGCAAAACACCAAAAACACATTTTTAGCTTAAGGAATTGAAAATTATTTCAACGAATCGAAAAAAGACAATTTTGGCAATGTTCAGACATGTAAATTCTCTCTGGTAGGATGCATGTGTGCGTAGAGGCTCGTACGACAACATTTGTGTGCGTGACCGATGGTTTTGTTGTACATAATGTAATTTGTTGTTTCTTTTTTCTCTCTCCATTTCGTCTCACTTGTTTTCGTTCCGTTTGTAGTCTCAATTTACCTCCAAAACTGAACGAAGCACGAGAATGAAAAGCAAAAAATAAAAAACAAACAAAAATGGACTTTGGACCATACGGTATATTATTTTCGAACGTATACTTTTCAGTTCGTGTGAGTCAAATAAATAAAGCGGAAAGAGAAAAAACCACACCACATGTATGTAGTTGAAATTAGAAAAAAAAAACTAAAATTTGAGAGGAAAAAAATGAATTTTGACATATATTGGTCGTTTTTATTTGTTATTCTCACAGAAGATTCAAGTTGAATTGTTGATTTAAATCAAAATTTTGAAAATGTTCTAATTTTCATTTTTTTTTGTAATATCTCAACTATACCAAATAATTGAAAATCCTTGTAAAGTGTACCAAATTAAAATAGACGTTCGTGTTGCCCCAAAAGCATGTGTGAAGAAGAAAAAATCGATTGGCACTTAATTTGTGTTATTCAATGTTTAAAATCATATGATTGTTCGAAATCGATGTTAGTCGAGTGTTGGGATGCTATAAGAGAGTCGGTTTAAAAAAAAACAAATGAGCCACATTCGGTTTTGGCATTAGAATGAGTGTTGAGTGGAGACGTTCGAAATTGTTTGCACTCTCCTTCTCTTCCACTGATTAGTCTCGACGGCGGCGGTGTGGAACGATAGCAAGCGCGCGCCCATAGTAGTAATATTCGGCGTTCAATCCACCTTGTGAATGTAATGCACAAACATCGACGAAATGACAACGAGTTCATATGTATCACTTCATCGATTCTAATTTACTGCACTGAGAGTGTGCAATTGAGCTAGCATTAGCATACTAGTGAATATTTACAATTTGCTTGATTGTTGTTACTGTTATTGTCGACATGCGTTTGGTTCTCCATCAAAAGGTTTGTGTTTGCGATTGTTGGAGCGTTTTGTCGTCGTTCGAATTAAAGTGTCGAATGAATTGTCTGTAGGTATGCCGTATGTTATTGTAATTTTTGTTGTAAACGATTTGAAATACTTCATTGAAGTCTCGGCATTGCTTTGGCACACATGTATGACTCATGCATACATGACAGTGTGTCCGTGTGTTGAGGTATTTAGTTCAGGAGGTCTGTTTCATAATCGCCTTCGTTTGCATATATGCAATACATATAAATATATGTATTGATATCTCTTTACAGAACGAATATGAACACAATCACAGAACACACAATGAGTCGTGACTGTGTCAAAGAAAACTTCTCAGAAGAATGAACATCTGTCACACGACCGAAAGGAACATCGGTTAGATTAGTTACAAAAAACCTGCTGTAGTGTCAATTAGTATGTGACTCTATCTAGAGCAATTCCGTTTTATTTTTATTCTGTTTCAAGTCATTTTTTGTTCATTCGAAAGTCTTGTGTTAAAACGTTCATTTATCGGAGAAAATTGGCTAAATGAGTGAATTTGGATATTACAACTGTGTTTCTATTTTGAATAACCCAATCAAAGTGAATTTTATCGATTCAAAGACACGTTTCTAGTGCGATCGTGGCAATCAATTCATGTACATTATTTAAATCAATTTGAAAAGAGCTAAACGAAAATAAAAACAACCAATAAACTGTTTTCTTCAAACCGGCTGTTGTCGATGTCCATTCACGCGTCGTAATCTGGGAATATTGAAGTAATAATAGTGCATGTACGTACATCTTAATGAAACTTAGGTGCCGATTTTTTCTTTCCATATTTTATATTTTCCTTTCTCTCTTTTGCTCACTCAATACGCCCAATGTGATTTTACTATATTTTTTTCGTTCCGTTAGCTGTGCATGTTGCAAAGTGAGTTGAAAAAAAGCTGTGTGTTGAGGGATAATTTTAGCAGAAACTCCAAAAAATTATATGCGTTTCAAAGAATGAGTAAACACAAGCATCTTAATAATTATTATTCAATTGATTAACTTTACAAACCTACGCCAATTTTAAACCTACCTATTACGTAAAAAAAACATAAATTGTGCTGAAAGTATACTACAGATATATCTAATCATTTAAACGGTGTAATTAAATGCTCAAGTGACTCTACGGTATGTAATGTACATATCGTTCGTCAAGAAAACGGACAATATTATTGTTCCAGCCAATGAAACAGAGTGTTTTGCTGCAATTATATCTATGCATAAACCATAAGGTAGCCGGGAAGGCGGTCGTATACGTTCGGAGGTGTTCAAACTCCAGTTGTACATTTGCAATGAGAATTTATTCGGCTTCTTTGCGATGACTTGTGAATACGACAGAAAAAACGGCAAAAAAGTCTTTCAAAGAAGAGACAACGAAAGGACTTTGCTAAGTTGTCGTTAGCAACTGTCCTCCGTTGATAGAAAACTGGTCGCAAATCGAACAAATAGAAAGTTGTGTAAATATGCAGTGAAAATCGCGACGCACTCAGTGTAAATATTCAGTTTTCAGCAGACGATTAGACTTTGACCCATCGAAGAAAATACTAAGCACATTTATTTTGAGAGATCTTGTTTGCCAAGAATAAACTGAAATACCGTAAAAATTTATTGGATTTGATAAAAGAAGATACAGAAAAGACGCGATGAAAGAAACCAACGAAAATCAGACTTTGACCGGTGAAGTTGATCCACTTAACATTTCGAAATGTAAATTTGGCTATTTTTGAATTGGCTCGCCGCTTTTGCGTTCTCTTGTTTTGATTACGATACGTCTGTTGTGTTGTTGTTTGTTTATGAAATCGTGCTTGTTTCATTATGCTCGAAGTTGTGTGATTTAACATTTCGCCTGCATTAATTCGCCGACCTTTGGAATTGTTTTGAAACTCCCTCTGCCTCTTAAAAATGCGTGTGCTTATACGAAATCGAAAACAGCGTTGTGTCGGTCCTCTGAAGTAAATCCTCTGAAATAAATATACAAGCAATTTTTACTTTTCAAACTATGCGCGATGATATTCTAATCATTTTATCATAATCACCTTCAAAAACTGTGTCATTGGGAAATCGACCAGAGTAGTAAGATTGCTCGTTATACACACTGAACTTTTATTATTAATATGAAACTGCCATTTGTTTCAATAATTAAGTGCTTACTGATTTTTATGTTGTGATACATTAAGGATAATATTGCGCGAGCAGTTGCTTGAAGATCACACATTCATCTTGAATGGATTCTCATTTGGAGTCAAATTGTTTTAATGGTTTCATTCATTTACTTACATTTCAAAAGTATTCAAGCTAGAATGTTATTCTGGCCTACCAATTGCAGAGGTTGGTTGCAGATAAATTAATTTTAATAAATTTCAAATATCAAATAAATTTATCCGATATTTTTCATGCGTTGTGTTGTTCTAACGCATTTGCAGTGCATAAACGAGACATCGGCTGTTGTATTGGCAGTCAGCTATTCATTGAGATTTTTGTTTTGTTCATTTACCGTTATTTGTCAACAATTCTGCCATATATAGTCCATAAGAAATATAAAATATTCGCCATTTTGTTTTACATTGCCAATGCATAACTTATGGAGATTTTTGTTTTGTTTATTTTTTGTTGTTTGTAAAAAAATCTGCCTATCTTTTTGCATTGTCTCTGCACATTTCGCATGGACATATACTATGTACAGTGGCAATGCAAAAAGATAGGCAGATTTGTTTACAAACAACAAAAAATAAACAAAACGAACATCTCTATAACTAATAAGGTATTGGCAATGTAAAACTAAATGGCAAACATTTTCTAGGGGGATTTCTCACTTAAAAAATGGAACAATTCCAATGAATATTGAAAAATTCCTTCCATTTCTATCAATTCGGGTAAATGAATACACATTTACACTGAATGTGTGAAATACGTTCGCAGTACGAAGCTTAAGTACGTAATACTTAGCATACTTAACCTTAAGTACGTACTTAAGCTTCATACGAAAGAGTACGTTAAGTACGTACTTAAGGGTGACAATCTTCATACTTAAGCTTAGGTATGTACTTAAGATTTGTACTTGCTAACAGAACCGAATTTATCAAATTGCAGTGAATTCACCAAAATGTTCTAGAATTGAATGGAATGTAGCATTTGGTTCACATTAAATTTGACAATTCCAGAAAATTTCAAATTTTAATAGAAAAGAAGAAATAACATAAATTCTTGCACATTCATTTCAATTTTTTGCGTGAGAAATCCCCCTAAACATTTTACATTTCTTATGGACTATATATACTATGTGCGCAGTGCTAGGGGAATTTAACTCTTACGAGTTCAGCATGTTTTTTGCCAGTTTGCTTGATTCGCGGGAGTTCGACGCGTTCGTTGTACGTACTGACGCGCACGGTCACAACTTTACACAAGTTTGTTTATGGTTTTGCGCGTTTTTCAAGTTGTTATTTGACAATTAAAACGCGTTTCAAGCTAAAAATCGGTTGTTTACGTGTATAAAGATTTTTCACATCCTTTCCAAAAGTTCAAAGATTTATATAATTATAAAATGGACAAAGGAAATATTTTTAAAGAGCTGGAGAAAGTGTTGAAGAAAAAGTTAATCCAGATATAATAAATGGAACGACTGATGTGTGCGCGTCGTCCAGCTACAAGTTTGCACACGAACTCGCGCGCGTTCGCGCATGTTGTTTTAATACGGAACTTGTCAACTGAGTGGAATCATGCAAGTTCTCTGGTGAATGTAACAATTTCGTGCGCGTTTATATCATTTTTTTACAAGTTTTCACGTAGTTAAATCCCCCTAGGCGCAGTGGCAGAATTGTTGACAAATAACGGTAAATGAACAAAACAAAAACCTCAATGAATAGCTGACTGCCAATACAACAGTCTCGTTTATGCACTGCAAATGCGTTAGAACAACACAACGCATGAAAAATATCGGATAAATTTATTTGATATTTGAAATTTATAAAAATAAATTTATCTGCAACCAACCTCTGACCAATTGAAACTTGTTTGATTTTATCGGTCGATTGGTCCCGTTTTCCATTTTGAATGAAGAAAAATATCATTTTGTTAAGCCATCACAGGAACCTTCTCAAGTAAAACACAACTTTTTCGAAATAAAAAATTATACGTAACCATTACGACAACCAAACAACTGCACAATTAAACTGATAAAAAATGATCTTGCCACATCAAGATTTTATCTAAAAAAGTTCTTTGTCATCAAATTTTTCCTGCTATAGCATCATATATGATAGGAAGAATCAATCAAAAGCAAAAAGACACTTCATTAAAAATCGAAAAAATGTGTATGAATATACATTCCAGTATTCTCTATAACATTTCTATGAAAATTGAACTTTTCTCTTCACAACAAAAACACTAATTTTTCTTCTGAATGTTGCTTAATAAATAATTCAAGAAAAATTACTTTCTTTTTGGCTATTGTCATGGATGTATAAAAATCTGTTTTGCTTTCATCAGCTGTTGTCTCTTTGAGAACATCAGCCTTGTTTTGTAATGAAAATAAATCGAAATACATCTAAAACTCTATATGGAAATGAGCCAAATAATGGTTCTAGAATTTGGTCAGCTTTTTCCCGTTTATAGAATCGATTTGCAATTCAAATTATGTGCGGGAAGTAGCTTACATCAGTGGAAATAGATAGAAACTGATTAGAATTATAAATCAGACAAAGTGGAATTTTTCTTTCGATTTTTACTGTCGGTTGCTTGAGCAACCATTTTGTCCCATGAATCGTGCAATAAATCATCACGAAGTTCTAAAAACTATTGCATGTTATTGGTTGAACTTTTTCTGCTTATAATAAAACAGCCCTGTGTAATAAAATAGATCTCATCGGAACTTGGTAATTATTTATATTAAGACGCTGATAAAAACTTACTTGGTTTTATTTGTGTAATATTGCGCAAGAGTTGTATGTATTTTGTTTTTCAGAACATGTGTGAACGTCAGACAATTGCTTTATTTTCTCAAATCATCACTCCTTAAAGTAGATTATTTACTGTAATACATTTTGCTTTGTTCACATTGTTTTCACTGGAATCTTTTCGTCTTAATTTTTTGATATTCATTTTTTACGAAAAAAAGGCCATCGAATTTCATATCAAATTTTTGATCAAATAATTGATTATTGTTCATTTGCAATTTATAATAAATGACCATTAACTTTAATCAACGAATCACTCGAGCTGTGAGCTAAACTTGGGAACCACATTTTTATTTCGTTTCATTCGTCTTGATAGCATGACCTTAGTGAGAACATTTTATCTTCATGTGATACATATATGTGTTAACAATTTGTGTACGATACACAATTTGCCCTAGTTTTTGACTACGCATTTTATTTTTATATAACATTTTGTGATTGTATACGATTTTTGACCATTTTGTCTCGTTATCATGAGTTCTAATTTCGATCGAAACTTCGGACTCATGAATGAATAATCTTTTTCTGATCATGCTCGACCAATACTATCAGAGCCCATATAAATAATGTCGGTCAACTCGTACAAACTTGCGATAACTAAATTTCAGAGTCAGAAATCGCTGCATATTTTTACTAGATCAAACAACTAACGTTAATACGGAAGGCTCCCCTTTTGGCACGTCCAAGTTTTGTTTTAGTTATGCGAATGTAGTCGAATGATAAGGTTAAATTGCATAAATCTTTCGCCACACACATTCAATTCGTCAGGTGTTTTTCAAACAGTCTTTATTTTCTATTTATACTTTTATTATGCTATAGATTGTCAATTGCCGATGCATTGCGGAACCAAATCACATTACACAAAATATACTATTTTTATTTTTTTAACATTCTTTCTCAGCCATCTTTTGATTGTGATCTCTAATCATGGTTGTAATGCCACGAAATATTGAAATATAAACGAAAATTGAAATTAATTACAAATAGAAATTATAATTACTATAATTATTCGCTTAGAAATTTCGTCTATTCAAAGTCAATAAATTGATTATGTATCACAATGAAGTTATACTTGTCCGGGTTGTTGTTATATACATACACACATAAATAAACACAAAAAACGAGTTTTCCATCAAAATCACACAATGGAATTAAGAAGTTTTCGAATGCTATTTATTTTTTGTGGCATACAGAAAATACCAACAACAGCCATCAACGCATAAAAACCGAACTCAAACAATGTTAAACTGCACTTAATGGAGCGAAAAAATATGCAATTTTTAAAAAAATAACATTAATAGTAGTTGTTTATTTAACTTTTCATGTTTGTTTGCCTTTAAATTTCGTTCGTTTTATTCGTTCTTTCATTTTATTATATTTTTTTCGTTATCCGTTTTCATTCGCCACAACAGCATTGAACGCGTATTACCCGTTACTAAATTCATTGACATTTTGAAATTGGTGCCGTTTGGTTTTGATTTTTATCCAGTTTGAACGACAAACGATCAATTTTGGCAGTGGTCTGAAGGAACGGCGGTGTAAATGGCTGAAGCACATCAAGCTGTTGCGTTTTCTTTTTCAATCTCACACGAAGGATGGGACATCAACTACGACCGGGAGGTTCTCAATCTTGTGTGGAGATCTGGTATTAGATCATGGAAAAAACGCATCGGACGTCTAAGAGTAAGTGAAAATTAATTTGAAGACGAAGATAAATGTAAAATTTATTTTTTTGTAGATTGATAGAAATCATTTTTATATTTCGTTTTATATGAGAATCTGGCTAATGATGCACAGAAAAAACACAAGCAAAAATCAATGAAATGTTCAGTTTTTAATTGCAGAATAGCATTCATAATGGAGCATATCCAGTGCATTTGCAAAGCCTATGGATCATCATATCGATAGCGGCTGTCTTACATTTTTCTGGAAAAGAAACAACATTCGATTTGGCAAATCAAATTCTACCATGGCTTCCGGGGTATGAAAATCAATTTTTGTTTCACACACTTTTTTTCTGCTACACTCTTTTCTTCGAACATTTTTCTTTCCTATGAATTTCACCATTTTTTGAAAACAATTTCTCTACCTATTTTAATGTGTAATTTAAATCATGAATGTACCTTTATTCCACAGAGTTTCAATCGCATGGCATTTGGTGGCGTGTTCGTTAACAGGACTCTTGTTTTGGCTATGTATTTGTTTTATTATGCGCTATACTTTGAAATTGTTGCTTATGTACAAAGGTTGGATGTATGAATCGCGTGAAAAGGGTCGTCAGGTATCGATGCAAACACGTTTGTGGGCGGCTGCAACTAAAGTCCTCTCAAGTTGGAACGATCCCGGATTGTACAGTTTCCAAGAATCACTACCACGCTTGCCATTGCCAAATGTTAATGACACTTTAGCAAGATATTTGGACTCAGTTCATCCGTTGGTCGATGAAGAAAATTATAAGCGCATGGAAGAATTAGCCGAAGATTTTGAACGGACAATTGGCCCGAAATTACAACGCTATCTGATTCTGAAGAGCTGGTGGTCAACAAATTATGTATCCGATTGGTGGGAAGAGTACGTTTATTTGCGCGGCCGTTCTCCATTGATGGTCAACAGCAACTTCTATGGTATTGACGCATTGTTCTTAACTAATACTAATGTTCAGACTGCTCGCGCTGCTGTTGCCGTCAATTTGTTGTTGAGATTCCGACGCCTGATCGATCGTCAGGAATTGAAACCGATCATGGTCCAAGGAATTGTCCCGTTGTGCTCATGGCAATACGAACGGACTTTCAACACTGTTCGCATTCCTGGCATTGAAACCGATCGCATCATTCATTATAAAGACTCAAACCATATTGTTGTTTTGCATAAAGGACGATACTATAGAGTTACTATTCATTACAAGGGACGCATCTTGAAGGCTGCCGAAATTCAGATGTAAGTTGAAGGAGCATATATGAATTTGATTTGAAATTTTGACGAAAATTCAAATCAAAACCAAACTATATTTAAAATAGAAATGGAGTTATCATTTTTTCATTACTTTACAGGCAATTGGAAGAAATATTGAATTCAAAATCTGAACCATTGCCGGGTGAGGAGCTTTTGGCATCATTAACCGCATGGAATCGATCGAAGTGGGCTGAAGTTCGGAACAATCTATTCAACAAAGGAGTCAATCGTGTCTCATTGCACACAATTGAAACAGCTGCGTTCATTCTATCTTTGGATGATGAATCCTATGACACTGATATTCACAAAGAAGGTGCGTTAGATCACTTTGGGAAGTCATTACTCCATGGAAACGGCCACAACAGATGGTTTGATAAGAATTTCACACTTTGCGTTGGTACAAACGGTCGTCTTGGTTTTAACGCTGAACACACTTGGTAAAACACCACTATTTCGATTTATTCAAATTTATTTTTGATTGATAAGTATTATAAAATTTAATGAAAAAACTGCTTTGTTTTGTAGGGCTGACGCTGCTATCATGGCGCATATTTGGGAAAATAATATTATGGATGAAGTGATTGAGCATCCATATGACGACGATGGCAATTGCAAAGGCCAAATCGTTTTCCAGCCACCTTCACCACAACGCATGTCATGGGATTTGAACAACGATGCATGCCTCACCGCAATTAATACAGCTCATGAAGACGCCCAGAAATTGTTAAATGACTTACAACTCCGTATTTACGCGCACGACCATTACGGAAAGGGTTTTATGAAGACATGCCGCGTGTCACCTGATGCTTACATACAAATGGCCCTTCAATTGGCGTATTACCGGGACTCGGGATGTTTTTCTCTTACATATGAAGCATCGATGACACGTTTGTTCCGAGAAGGTCGCACTGAAACCGTTCGACCATGCACCATTGAATCAGCCGCATGGGTCAAATCGATGGCAGACGGCAAATTTACTGTAAGTTAATTTTTTGATACAAACTAATTGTAATTGCAATTTAAGAATTTAAGTTAATTTTGCTTTGGTTACTATAATACACAACATGGATTCACCAATACAAAAACATTGTTTTGGCATTTTACAACAGTATTTGTGAAAATACCAACAAATGTTCTGATTAGTATTTGTATGGAATGCACCCAAATTCGTACTATATTGACAGCCGATCATTCGTTGCGATTTTCACAAATACTGTTGTAAAATGCCAAAATTATGTTTTTGTAACAAAATTATCTTTAAATTTTTAAATGTTTCAATAAGTCTATGGTTTGCAATGAATTTGATAATTATTTTCATTTTTTCTTCCTGACACTAGACTGCGCAACGGGTTGAACTGCTACTGAAAGCTTGCCAACGACACCAAAAAGGATATCAAGATGCGATGTGTGGCAAGGGAATCGATCGACACTTATTCTGTTTGTACGTCGTATCGAAATATTTGGAAATAGAGTCGCCATTCTTGAAAGAAGTTCTCAGCGAACCGTGGCGATTTTCAACTAGTCAAACGCCGCACGGACAAACGAGCAAAATGGACCTACGCAAACATCCTGAATGTATTAGTGCAGGCGGTAGGTGACCATAATTTGAAAATTTCAATTTTTACATTATACTTAAATTAAACGATTTTGATTTTTTATTTTTTTTCTAAAATTTTAAGTATTGAAATGGTGTTGTTTTGTCAAAGTTTGAATTGGTTCATATATGTTTATTTTCGTTTCATTCAAAGGCGGTTTCGGTCCAGTTGCTGACGACGGCTATGGTGTTTCATACATTATTGCTGGTGAAGATCTGATTTTTTTCCATATATCATCAAAGGCCAGCTGCGCAACTACGGTGAGAATTATTTTCCCAACATCGATATTTGGCCTTTCTTAGATTTAAACTAAAATTTCTCAAAAATGCATTGATAAAAAAAAATCTGTCTAGGACGCTGTAAAATTCTCTAAGGAAATCGAGCGAGCATTAGCTGATATGAAAAATCTGTTTGAAGAATATCATTATCTGAAAAAATCAGCAAATGGATCATCGATATGAACAGCAACAAAGCAGCATATGCAATCGTGGTTCTTGGAAATGGTGGCTTTAGGGAAATGTTCAATAAAAAATATAAAATCAATAGAAAAAATCTTTAGATTCCTTGAATCTCAACATCAAATGGCCGCGTGCTATCGTATAGCTCCACGTTACCCTGATATATGAAGTTAGTTCCAAGTTTTTTGTGTATTTGTTCTTTTTTTAAATTAAAATTTTTCAATTTTTTGCAATTAGTGTTCCAAATTATAAACCCACGGACGGATTAGAAGACAATATTTTTAATGGTCTGTTGTGCAGCTCATTTGTTATATTTTAGATAGTAGAGGTGAAATAAATTTAGAACTAGTGTGAATGTTATTAATAAATTGTTCGATTCAAGATAAAAATCTGTTGTGCCCGTTTAATAATGACGTTTACACTAGATTACACGTTGAAACTAACTTATGTATTTACAATCGAATTTTTTCTTGTTGTTTAGTTGTAAGTAGATTTAGACAAATCGAAATGATCAAATAAAATGTTGTTTTTTTGTTTATCAAGAGATAAATATCAAGAGTGGTATTATTTCAATCGAAAGTAATTTGATTAGCAATGTATTAAATTATTCATCTTACCCGATTTGTTCAGCACAATCCACAAACTGAACTCATACACTGGTGATTGTTTGAAAAAGGTTTTTCGATTTAATTCTATTTCAGTTCACATCAATTTTTTTAAATATTTTGTATGCAAATCAATCAAACCAATCACATAAATTGTTTTATGTGATCAAATTTACTTGGATAGCTTTCATTTATTTAGATTTGGGTTTAACTTTCTTTAGTTTACCCATACTCCGAGCATGTATATGGAGTTTCAATACATTAGATTAGGTGTGAACATTTAACTCCATCCAGTAGTTGTGTTTTAGTGAGTAATATTACCTAGACTGAATGTAGCGGTTTCAACTACTTTTGGGCGAATTTATCCCAAAAGTAAACTGCAATGAGTTATTTGTTATGCGAACGCTCAAACGGCCACTGTAAATGTGCGCGCAAATACACGCACTCGACTGTGTGTAGATTTGTCATCCAGTAGCCATTGCATGTCTGTGGATTACTGAATTAGTGCGTATATCAACAATAGCCGTTCGAGCGTTCGCATAACAAATAATTCATTGCAGTTTACTTTTGAGATAATTTCGCCCGAAAGTAGTTGAAACCGCTATATTCAGTCTAGGTAATATTACCAACAATGGAATACTTTGTATACTGATACATGTATTTGTTTGGATCTCGGTTGGCCGAAGCGAGTAACTAAAGAACCGATGGCGAGTTCGTGATGTCTGTATGTTATACTTCAGTATGACGTTTGACAGAACGGACAGTTTACTTGATTATATTGTCATTAGCCTTAGACTATCTAGGTGGTGTTTGCGCTCAATATCAATTGTCAAATTCAAAACGAATAGAAGAGTTGAATGTTACTTACTAAAACACAACTACTGGAAAGAGTTCTAGATGGAGTTAGATGTTATATTAATGTCATATTCTCTGAATGAGTTTACCAATTTCTCAACTAGTTATAAAATTTGTTTAACATGTGAATAATTTTTTCTACGTGAAGCAAATTTCGAATCATGGATAAATATAAAATCAATTTGAAACAATTTACATGATTTTTCTGCATTCTTCATACGATAGAAATCTATTGATCTGTTTCCCTCACACTTCAACCGTCACAATTTCATGCAAGTAATTTATTACTTAAAACTTAAAAGTGTATTTAATGTGCAAGTCAAATGTAAATTCAATGGAATGAAGTTAGATTGATTGATTAAAAAAATATTATTGGCATTCAAAATTCCATCATGCTGATATTTTCCATGAAAATTGATACTCCATTAAAAAAGAGTTATATATATTTCGATACTTAATAGTGGTACTTATTTTTCTACAGATCAAACGCCAGATCAATGGAATCAAATGTCAGTGGTGTTTATCGCTGTCAAAAAACAAACTTCAGACATCAACAAAAACCAAACAAGTTTTTACTCTAGTTCATTAATATTATTAAAGGTAAACGATTAATACTTTTTATATTTTATTTAGTTTTTCGTAATTTTTATTCATTGCAATGCATAGTTTTGTTATTTCTTTTCTAGAATAAGCGATTCATTTCGAATGACTTGCTACATCGACGGTCGATGATCGACCAACAACCAAACATAAAATGAACCCCGAAGCAAGCAATGAGATGGGAAAATCTAGCACAAAGACAGACGGAGAATCTAAAAGCAATCAAGTTACAGTTTCGACACCAAATGAAGAAAAACCACCGGACATTTTCAAACTAGATGTGGATTGCTTTGAGGAAGTGTTTGATTATTTGTCGCTGAAAGATTTAGTTTCTGTTGGTCAAACGTGCAAGCGGTTGCATCGGGTCGCTGGTCACTTTTTTCAGTTGAACTATGGAGTTGCCATGGCATGCTGTGAGAAAAACCTTTCCATTCGAAGCATCATTGTAAACTGCTTCGTTAACTTTATCGAAAAACTTTGGATTATTAACATAAATTTTGGCTATTCTGATACTGAAGATGAAGAAGATGAAAACTATGGACACGATAAGAAATCTCTTGGTCGACTTCCATTTCAAGATGTTGCCGATTTCTTTCATACCCAGTTATGTAATTACAAATCGCTCAATTTAGTTGAAATGACCGCCAGTGGAGTAAGCCGTAAACAATTCGAAGGCATTAAACGATTCCTTGATAAGGTTGTAAGTGTCAAAGTATGGCCAAATTCTTTGCCACTAGAAGAGGGCTTTTTCCAATCTTTCCTAAAATTCTGCACAAATTTGAAGCGTTTGTCTGTTGTTCTGGTGACCACCGATCTAATTGTTGACCAAAATGATTGGCTTTTTCGAAATTATCCACACCTAGAACATTTTGAATTACAAATGTTCACAGTTCATAAAATTGAAGCAATGGAAGTTTTTCTGCAACTCAACCCAAACATACGTACACTTGCAATTTACGGGAAAATTTTGTGGACAAACAGAGAATCGTTCATTAATATCGGTCATAAACTGAATGTTTTAGCCACAACATTCGTTGAAAATGATTTCAATCCAATTGAATTCCATCTATTCTGCATCTTTTTGAATGTACTTCACGAACGTGGATTTTACAAACGATTGCATTTATATTTCCCTGGTGCCTGCTTCAAACAGAGTCATGCCAGTGAATTGGTTTCGCTAAAAGGTCTAGTAAAATTAGTAATCATAAATCCACATGCATCCATCAATTTATCTGCATTATCCGATTTAGAAGAATTGTTTATCGGTAAAAGTAATTTTATAGCTGACTTGAAAGACTTGCCGGACACCCTCACTAATCTAAAACGGATTCAATTTTTAACCACAAGTTTGGATGATATTTTGGTTTTTGTTACACGTGCAAATAAACTGAACAAATTCAAATTTAATTTAATCAAGAATGAGATCAGTGGTGAATGTATCGACATATTGGATTTATCCATGCTGAATGAAGAGCGTGCAAAATTGGCAGGAGCAAACAAAATTATGATTTATGTTAGCGAAAAAATTTATTTGGCAACAAAATGGGTGATGAACCAGACTAATCACAGTTTTATTGAAATGAAACGCATCACATCGTACGATTGGCGACATGAATTTGATGATGCTTCAACTGAAAAATAATTGTTCATTCTTTTCTTATTTATCAAATAAATGATACCTGTGTTTCTTTTCTTCAATCTAATCATATTTATTTTTAAAAAATGATCTTCCTTGAAGTACTCGAAATATTAAGTATATAGTAATATACTCAATCATACTATTAAATAGAATGTCAATTCAATGGAATGAAACGTCAAATAATATTCCATCAAAACAGCTGTCACTCCGAAAACAGAATATAATTTATTTGTTCTCTCTTGTGCGTAAATCACTATCAATTGAATGTAATCAGTAAATTAATTCCAAAATTTTATTTTGTTCCTTTTCAGCACATGAACTGGTGCCGTAAAGTCATACTAAATTACTCAAGTATTTTAGATAATGCTACTTTTTGACTCTACAATGTTTAGAATCGCAACGATTCAATTGCTTTAATTTGCTTAATTCGGCAAGCGAATACTACGAGCAAATTAAAGCAATTGAATCGTTGCGATTCAAACATTGTAG